CGCGTGGGGCTGTACACGGGCGAGATCAGCACGACTCGCGCCCTGGACGAGGCGGACTTGCCGCGCCAGCGCCTGCTGGTGCTGGTGAAGGACCACGGCGAGCCCGCGCTGACGGCCACGGCCACTGTGCTGCTGTCGCTGGTGGAGAGCGGCCAGACACCGAAGGCCTCCTCACGGACGTTGGAGGGCGCCGCGGGCCCACGGGTGGCGCTGATGGATGTCAATGTGTACCTGATCATCGCCATCTGCGCTGTGTCCAGCCTGTTGGTGCTCACGCTGCTGCTGTACACGGCGCTGCGGTGCTCGGCGCCGTTGGAGGGCGCGTGCGGGCCGGGGAAGCCCAGGCTGGTGTGCTCCAGCGCGGTGGAGAGCTGGTCGTATTCACAGCAGAGGAGGCAGAAGGTGTGCTCTGGGGAGGGGCCGCCCAAGACCGACCTCATGGCCTTCAGTCCCAGCCTTCCACCCTGTCCAGTAGCGACAGATGTGGTGGAGCATCAGGATTTAAATGATGATCATTATGCCAAAGTAAGTCTAAATTTTCATAATTAGCAGTTAATATTGTTTTGAAATATTATAATTGTTTTCCTAATGTTTCTGATTACATTTTGCTGTTTTAAAAAATTTGAATAGTTCTACATTATATACATCTTTTCATTTTTTGTTAATTATTATAATCTCTTTGATTTGTTATTAATCTTGATTTAAAGTGGGATCAAATGTTATTATCATTCTACACCTTAGGATTTTTGCCTTCAAACTCAAAATTTCTTTGGATATGTCCATTTCTGGTGTATTTTTTTTATTGGTGTCTGTAGTAGTTTTGTTATTTTCTGTAGAATTTTCATTTCTTTGTATTTGAACTCTGGGAGAGTTATTTCACATTTAATCATTTTTTATAATATATTGAAATTTCAACACCACTTTATTACTTATGCTTTTACCCTTTCAGTTTCTTCTTTTGCTGATGATTTTAATTTAGCCAGATTTTCAAGTTATTTATTTTGTGTAAGGACTCTGCCCATCATATGTTATTTTCTAGATTCCCCTTTGGCCCTGGTGATTCCAAGAGTCTATAGTGTTCATTTATTGTTAGTCTTTAAACCATTTAGGGGTAAAGGACAGAACATTAGGTTTCCGACTGAATACTTGTGGTTGGGATAGAGGAGTGAAAGGGGAGATTTCATACTCTTTTTAATTACGATGTGACACCCATGTTATTGCTCAGTTTATCAGGGATCAAAATATTGGAGAAATAGTAATTGAAAGGAATTTGGACTTTGATTAAGTAAATTAATGTAAAATCTGCATTCCTCAGACACTGCAAATCTCTTATTTATGTTTGAATTTAATTTGCTAGGTTTCTTTTCATGGAAGCTATTTCTTCTAATTTAACGCTTTCACTATTCTCTCTGTATTATGATTTTAACTACTCACTATTTCTTTACATTAAGTCAGTAGAGAGTAGGTTAAGAATTGTGAGTTTTCAAGCCATCCTTCCTTACCTAAATTCCATCCCCACCAATTTTGTTCTGTGTAGCATGGACAATTATTTAACCTCTCAGTTTCCAGTTTTCCACCTGTAGAGTTGCGATGATAAACAGTAGTACCTATCACAGAGAACTGTTATATTTAGTAAGTTGATACTTACAAGGTACTTATAATAGTATTTAGCTAAATAGTAAGCACTTAATAAAATTTAGCTATTATTATTCTGAAGAGTAGTAGGAAAATCTAAAATGTCAGAAAGTTGTCATTATGGCTTCCATATTATTTTTATTTTCTGTAAAGATTATTTGTTTTGTTATTCATAGGGAGGCCATACTTACCAAATTAATCCAAGATATCTCTAAATTTGCATGTCATGTACTACATTGAAAAAAATAATTTAAAATCAATTTTTCAAAGTTGAAAATTGAATAACGACTTTGGCTGTGGAAAAGCTTTTTAGATTCAAAAAAGACATTTAAACTGCTGTGCCCTCAGTGCTTTGCTGAATGTGATTTTAACTTTTTGTGTTGCCCATATTTTCCCAGGAAATATTAGACTACCTTAAACTGGAATGGTGTATTTTCCCACATTTAAAAGTTGTCCAAGGCCTGCTGGTGGCGCAAGCGGTTAAGTGCATGTGCTCTGCTGCCGTGGCCCGAGGTTCGCGGGTTCAGATCCCGAGTGCGCATCAACGCACCTCTTGGCAAGCCATGCTGTGGCGGCGTCCCATATAAAGTGGAGGAAGATGGGCACAGATGTTAGCCCAGGGCCAGTCTTGTTAGCCCAGGGCCAGTCTTCCTCAGGAAAAAAAAAAAAAGTTGTCCAAGGTCCATCAGATGACTGAGTTGGAGTTTGTGCTCACCAATGTGTTCATTTTCTATTCTTGAAATTGCAGAAATCATTAATAGTGTTTTCTGGTTTTTAAAAATAAGTAAGCACACGATGATTTTTAAACACATACTTAAAAGTTACAAAATAGGCTATGGTTATACTGATCAATAAAGAGTATCATTTGTATAAATAGTTATATATGACAACCTTAAAAACATCATGCTTTCTTAGGAAATAGAGAACCATAGCCATCACTCTCGAGTAAACATTTAAAAGAGGTTCTAGGAGGGTGTCTAAGAGCACAACTCTGTGCTAAGAATCATTGAATTAACAAGACCCAATCCCTGGATTCACGAAGTTCATAGAAAAATAAAGATATGTGTCATACATAAATATGACCATCTTAGAAGGCAGAATATTGTAAGAGGTGCAAGAAATGTAAATTATTGTGATTGGAATTGAAAAGAAATATCTATTTCCCTTGTTGAAGGAGCCCTTCAAGAGTTATGATTTTTTTTGTTGTTAGTGTCCTCCAGTCAATTCTGACTCCTATCAGACCCTGTGTACAGCAGAGCTGAACCCTGCAAGGTCTTTTTTTTCCACCATCCTCTCATCTTCCGGTCTTATATCAGACAATGCTCTGCTGCTATTCACCAGTGAAACCTGTCCACCATGGGTGACCCTGCTGGTATTTGAAACACTGGTGGCATAGCTTTCAGCATCACAGCAACATGCAACCACCACAGTATGACAACCAACAGACAGGTGGTATGGTTCCTTGACCGAGAAACAAACCCAGGGCCGCTGCAGTGAGAGCGCCGAATCTTAACTACTAGACCACTAGGGCTGGCTTATGATGTTTTTAGTGGTTTTAAAATGGAGAGGTTTCCTCTGGGAGAATATTGACTATAATAGGTTTTCTTGGGAACAGAGGAACTTAAGGAAATGAGTGCACAGAAAATCCCAAAGGTGCCTGGAAATAGAATAGTCTGCTTTGGTGAAGACATATGAAAGAGTATGAGGAAAGAGTATGAGAAAAGTAGGAAAGAGTATGAGATAAGGCAGGAAAAGTAACATGAGAAAAACCTCTTGGGTAACTTTGAGTACTAGACTAAGAAATTTTGATTCACCTTTAAAGTCATTTGAAAGCTATCAAAAAGTGTGAAGCAATAGGAATAAAACACGTTTTTCAGGAAGATGACTCTCAGGATTAAATGAGGGATAAATGAGGTCGTCACAAGATGACACAATAAGAAGCAATTACAATAATCCAGGATAGCAACAATATTTAAAACTCATTTAGGCAGATATAAAACTTGGGAAGCATTAGAATATGGACCTAATTATTTTACTTGCAGTTGGGAGCATGGGAGTGAAACATTCAAGAGAATTTGCTCTGTTAAGTAGAACTAAAAAGGAGAAAACACCCAAAGGTTGATTAAAGGACTGTTCTAAGAATGACAGATGAGTGCCAACATTTATCTAATGAAATAAACTTGTAAAATAATCTAAATCATATTGGAGATTGTAAAAACAGGTGGATATTTATAAAACATGAAGCTTCGAAAGGATGGAAAGAATAAAGAGATATAAGAACCATGAACTCCTGAAACACAATGTATAAATTCTGACGAAAAGAGAAATTCAGAATACTTCCTCCTCACAAAATTCACTTAATACAAATTATTCCTCTTCAAAGATCCCCCAAACCTTCTATTATTGTGTTTTATTAAGAAAAGTATATGAATTAGTTGTTTATATTCCTTGCTTCCTAAAAACGAGCAAACAACCTTTCTAAGTTTTTCTGCCATTAGTAGATTCTTGAGATCCTTGAGGTCCCTAGTGAGACCAGGAGTTTTCTTAACAGAAAGCAAGAAAATGGAGTTTCCTGAACTCTGAACAGAGGATTTTAAAATTTACTGTTGCTACCATGATTTGCTTTATTGTCACTTACATTTTTATCTTTACATTTAAAAACTGTGGAAATATGTATTTTCAAGGCATAAAGAAACCACAATTATGGTCAAACTAAATGTTCAGAAGTTAAGTCTCCCAAGAATGCCTTCAGCAAGTGTGAGAAATGTCCTACGCTTTAACAAAAATAAAGAAAAAAATTCAGTGGTTGAAATAAAACTTTGCATTTATTAATATAAAGTTTTTTTGTAATTCGTACTTACTATTTGGGCCACATGATGTCGCTCTTTACCGCGAAATTCTCTCATATTCAAGACAAAACGAAGTCAGTCCTCCGTTTTCATATTGGAAAGACTCTCCACTCTGTTTCACTATCAGGATGTTGAACAATGGCGAGCGTATCAGGATAGTAAAGAAGGGAAAAGAAGATTCCTCTAAATTTTGAGATAAGTTATGCTAATTCGAATTAAAAAACCCCAATAATTGGAAATGGTGTACTCGAATAGAGGTGACCAGAGGGACAGGCATCTACTGCTATTTTTTATAATTCTCGCGGCTTGGGAGACCGGGAGCGGCCAGGTCCACTACTCGATCTCCGAGGAGGCCAAACACGGCACCTTCGTGGGCCGCATCGCGCAGGACCTGGGGCTGGAGCTGGCGGAGCTGGTGCCGCGCCTGTTCCGGGTG